TTTTCTTTATATATATATATAGATAGATAGATATGTTTCAATGTGGTCCTTTTCCCCCTATTCAATACTACCTTTACATATATATATATATATATATATATATATATATATACATGTGTGTATACACACACACACACACACACACACACACCAGTTTTAATCTCCCTGTAACTCTTGGAAGCAGTGCTCTCTAACAAAGAGAACAAAATACACCAGGAAAAACTGAAACATCCTACTGAGCTCCCCTCCCCTCACCATCTCCCTCCCTTTTTGAGCCTTATAAATCTTATTCTTGGGTTTCATTTTGGCTGGCGTTTTTTTTTGTTTGTTTGTTTTTGTTTTTGTTTTTTTTTTGGTGGTGGCTTCCAATTGCTCTGAATTTTCCCAGAGTGCACCTTGCCTGGATTATGGTTGATATTTTCAACACCATACCTCTCCTCAACCACCACTCAACAGAATGACTAGGAGGAGGAACTCCCAATAATGACAGAACCAAAGACAATGGCCTCTCCCACAGACCTAATGGATATGGATGTCTGATGACTTCAGGGTAACAATTATGAAGACAATAGCTAGGCTTGAGGAAACCATTAATGGCGACATAGAATCTCTAAGGCAAGAAATGACAACTAATCAGGCCAAACTTAAAAATGCTATGAATGAGATGCAGTCTAAACTAGATACCTTAACAGCTAGGGTAAATGAGGCAGAAGAATGAATTAATGATCTAGAAGATAAACTGATAGAAAGGAAGGAATAGGAGGAGGCCTGGAACAAACAACTTAAATTCCATGAGAACAGACTTAGAGAAATCAACGACACCATGAAACATTCCAATGTCAGAATTATTAGGTTCATTGAGGGGGTGGAGAGAGAGAGCACTAAAAGATATAGTTGAGCAAATCATAGCTGAGAACGTCCCTAATCTGTGGAATGAGATGGGCATTCATGTCCTAGAGCCAGAGCGGAAGCCTCCCAAGATCAAAGAGATCAGACCAACGCCCTCCATGTAATAGTAAAACTTGCAAATCTTAGAACCAAGGAAGCCGTCCTAAGGGCAGTTAGTGGAAAGAGATTCCTTACATACAGAATAATGTCTGACCCATCCACAGAGACCTGGCAAGACAGAAAGGGCTGGCAAGATATATTCAGGGTACTAAATGAGAACATGCAGCCAAGAATATTTTATCCAGCAAAGTTGTCATTCAGAACAGAAGAAAAGATAAAGAGCTTCCAAGTCCAGCAGAAACTGAAAGAATATGTGACCAAGCCAGCCCTGCAAGAAATACTAAGAGGATTCTATAAAAGAAGAAAGACCCCAGAATGGGGGAGAATACAGACCAGAAATTTACAGAGACAATCCATAGAAACAGGGACTGTACAAACAATACAAGGGCAATAAACACATATCTTTCAGTAGTAACCCTCAAAGTGAAGTGCCTAAATGTTCCCATGAAATGGCACAAGGTTGCAGATTGGATACAAAGACAGGACCCATCCATATGCTGTGTACAAAAAACTCATTTTGAACAATCAATAAAAGAAAAGACAAGAACCATATGATCCTCTCAATTGATGCAGAAAAGAAAAAGACAAAATACAACATTGATTCCTGATTAAAACTTTTCAGAGTATAGGGATAGAGGGAACATTCCTCAATATCATAAAAATCATCTATGAAAAGTCCACAGCAAATATCATTATCAATGGGGAAAGCTGAGATCTTTTCCCTTAAGATCAGGAACATGACAGGGATGTCCACTCTTACTATTATTGTTCAACATAGTACTAGAAGTCCTAGCCTCAGCAATCAGACAACAAAAAGAAATAAAAATCATCCAAATTGGCAAAGAAGAAGTCACACTCTCCCTCTTCATTGATGACATGATATTTTATGTAGAAAACCCAAAAGACTCCACCCCCAAATGACTAGAACTCATACAGCAATTCAGCAATGTGGCAGGATACAAAATAATGCACAGAAATTAGTTGTTTTTCTAAACACTAACAATGTAACTGTAGAAAGAGAAATTAAGGAATCAATTCCATTTACAATAGCAACAAAAACCATATGATACCTAGGAATAAACCTAATTAAAGAGGTAAAAGATCTATACTCTAGAAACTACAGAACATTTATGAAAGAAATAGAGGAAGACACAAAAAGATGGAAAAATATTCCATGCTCATGGACTGGAAGAATAAACATTGTTAAAATGTCTGTACCACCCAGAACAATTTACACTTAGTGCCATCCCTTTTAAAATACCATTGGCATTTTTCAAAGAACTGGAACAAAAAAATCCTAAAATTTGTATGGAACCAGAAAAGATGGTGAATCACAAAAGGAATGATAGAAAAGGAAACCAATGCTGGTGGCATCACATTGCCTGACTTCAAGCTATATTACAAAGCTGTGATCACCAAGACAGCATGGTATTGGCACAAAAACGGACACATAGACCAATGAAACAGAATACAGACTCCAGAAATGGACCCTCAACTCTATGGTCAACTAATCATTGACAAATCAGGAAAAAATATTCAATGGAGAAAAGACTATCTCTTCCATAAGTTGTGCTGGGAAAATTAGACAGCTACATACAGAAGAATAAAACTGGATCATTCCCTTACACCATACACAAAGATAAACTCAAAACTGTGAGACAGGCATCCATCAAAATCCTACAGGAAGGGCGCCTGGGTGGCTCAGTGGGTTAGGCCTCTGCCTTCGGCTCAGGTCATGATCTCGGGGTCCTGGGATAGGGCCCCGCATCGGGCTCTCTGCTCCGCAGGGAGCCTGCTTCTCCGTCTCTCTCTCTGCCTGCCTCTCTGCCTGCTTGTGATCTCTCTCTGTCAAATAAATAGATAAAAATCTTTAAAAAAAAATCCTACAGGAAGACATAGAGGCAGTCACCTCTTCGACATTTGCCACAGTAAATTATTTCAAGGCACGTCTTCAAAGCAAGTGAAAAAAAAGCAAAAGTGAACTTTTGGGACTTCATCAAGATCAAAAGCTTCTGCACAGCAAAGGAAACGGTCAACAAAACTAAGAGGCAGCTGGAATGGGAGAAGATACTTGCAAATGACTGCTGATAAAAGGCTGATATCCAAGATCTGTAAAGAACTTCTCAAACTCAACACTTAAAAAACTAAATAACCCAGTCAAAAAATGGGCGAAGACATGAACAGACACTTCCCCAAAAAAGACATACAAATGGCTAACAGACACATGAGAAAAAATGTTCAACATCACTAGCCATCAGGAAAATACAAATCAAAACCACAATGAGATACTACCTTACACGAGTTAGAATGGCAAAAATTAACAAAACAGGAAGCACAAAATGTTGGTGAGGATGTGGAAGAAGGAGAACCCTCTTACACTGTTGGTGGGAATGCACGCTGGTGTAGCCACTCTGGAAAACAGTATGGAGGTTCCTCAAGATGTTAAGAATAAAGCTACCCTATGACCCAGCAACTGTACTACTGGGTATTTACCCCAAAGATACAGACATAGTGAAAAGAAGGGGCACATGTACCCCAATGTTCATAGCAGCAATGTCCACAATAGTCAAACTGTAGAAGGAGCCAAGATGCCCTTCAACAGATGAATGGATAAAGAAGATGTGGTTCATATATACAATGGAATATTATTCAGCCATCAGAAATGATGAATACCCATCATTTACATCGACATGGATGGAACTGGAGGGGATTATGCTAAGTGAAATAAGTCAAGCAGAAAAAGACAATTATCATATGGTTTCACTCATATGTGGAACATAATCAATAGCATAGACCACCATAGGGGAAGGGAGGGAAATCCAAAGGGGGAGAAATCAGAGAGGGAGATGAACCATGAGAGACTATGGACACCAAGAAACAATCTGGGCATTTCAGAAGGAAGGAGGGTGGGAAGAGGGGGTAGCAGAGTGATGGGTTTTGAGGTGGGCACATGCTGTGATGAGCACTGGGTATTATACTTAACAAATGAATCAATGAACACCACATCAAAAACTAATTATGTACTATACAGTGGCTAACTGAACATTAAAAAAAAGAATTGCTTCAACAAGTATGAAATAATGGATTTAATATTTAAAATTCTTCCTTTCAAATTTTTTTCAATCAGAAGATAAAACAAAAATTTGTCCAGTGCTGATTTGTTCTCAATATTGACTTGCCTATAACAGCCAAAAATATCAAGAATAAAAATGAACCAACAATGTTTATATTTACAAATAAAGTAGCCAGAGAAGAAAGAGGTTATCATGTTATCATTATTCTGCCCACAATCTGATAGAAGGAACAGTGAAGAAATTAGGAAACCAATGTTCCATTTTGCTTAAAAAGGAGAAATTGTGATCATTGGCTGTAACATCGATTTTAAGTGCAGTGATTTTTGTTTTAGTGTATAAAACATTATCAAGCTCAGCTTTTCAAAAAATTATTTAAATAGAAAAAGGTTAACACAAGCAGCTACAACTGACCAAATATTTTATAATGTTACCATGGTATATCCAAACCCAATAAAAAGAAGTTTCAAGTTAGGATTCAAGGGAGAGTAGTGGGAAGTGTAAATGGAATTCTGCAGCTATCAAGGATTTTATATTATTAAAGAACTTTACTAAAATGATTATTTAATTTATAAATTGTGTATTAGAAATAAAGAAAAAATGTTTTAACAATTATTTGATATGTCTTTCCTTTTAGGAAAAGACAAATTTCTCTTTATAAGTCAGGTATTATCTTACAGTTAAGTGATTTTGGTAATGACAACAATTTGATATTTCACTTTTTTTTTTAAGATTTTATTTATTTATTTGACAAACGGAGATCACAAGTAGGCAGAGAGGCAGAGAGAGAGAGAGAGGGAGGAAGCAGGTTCCCTGCCGAGCCTGATGCAGGGCTCGATCCCATGACCCTGGGATCATGACCTGAGCTGAAGGCAGAGGCTTAACCCACTGAGCCACCCAGGAGCCCCTGATATTTCACTTTTAAATTAATCCCAAATGTTGTCCCACTATTTCATAAACTACACAGCTAATGCCTACTGAGGGAAGCACCTTTATGATATTTGTGGTAAGACCCCTGAAAAATCCCCTTTTTCCTTCGTTGTTATGTATCTCTTGAATGAGATGAATCATAGAAGTTGTTGTTTCTTTTTCTTCCAGTGCTATAAATTGAAAAAAAAAATCAGTGTAATTCAATATTCAGTCTTTGTACATTAAGATAGTCCAATGATTTATGAGAATTACAGAGGCTAAAATTACTTTAGAATATTACTCTCTCCCTACATATAGAATGGTCTTGTGCTGTCCAATATAGCCACTAGGCACTTGTGTCTATTCAAATTTAAGTTATGTAAAATTAAGTAAAACTAAAAATTTAGTTTCTTAATTGAATTAGCAACATTTCAAGTGTCTGATAGCCATGTGTCACTAGTGGTTACCATACTGAAAAACACATATAAAATACAAAGGAGCATTTGGAAATGTGTATGACACAAATACTTGGATAGGGCAATGGGTTGATGATGGAATGGATACAGAGATTCCCCACCTGGATTGCAATATAAATTAAATCTAAAAATATTACTAAAAAGAGGAGAAAATGTAAGAGAATATCACCACAAAACTCCTTAAATAATTTGCTAAGGAAGATAATAAAAGAATTATGTAAGGTTTTTTTTCCCCTCTTCTTGAAAGGTGATAAAGGTATTTTCTTAAAATCTAAATTTCTAACCTTTCACTTGAGAGAACAGAACAGATACCCTCCCTTCTGCCTAATATCTCCTTACTAGGGGGATTGCAATACAATTTCAATTCCACAAATGTATTACGTTCCTGATGCAGAATATAACAATGAGAGCAGAACTAGAGGGGAAACTGCGTGTTCACATTGAGTAACTGTTGACTTAGTTTGAAGAAAGCAAAATCTTTTCTATTGTTTGTCATGGTATTTCCTAATTATAAACTCCTTAAAGAGATCATTAATAACTGAAGGAAATGTATGAAGTCCCAAGCAGAACTTTGGAGAAGAAATAAAATCTAAAATTAACAAAAGGCTCTATAATAAAACAATAAATTCAAGATGTGTGCCTTAAAAATCAGAGTCTGCTTTTGATTTATCAATTGTCCAGTTTTTCTATTTTTTAAAATCATTAATTTCTACTCATTTAAAATAACTTTAGTTATTTTAAACTGTTTTTTAACTTAATTTTTATTCATACTTCATTAAAGTTATTCTTAACCACCTTTTAACTTATTACTTCATTAAAAAAAAAAAACAACTCACCTTGAACCTGCATGCGAGTTCTGATAAAGGTCAGAGGGAAGGTGGCTATCTGAGCACATGTGTGAGACAATGTACTACATCCCAGCAAAATCCTTATCCCAGGGTCTGTAGACTCTCCTGCGTGATGTTCTAGCCAATAATTCTTCAACAGCTGGCAGAGAAGAGAGTAGTAAATATCCTTTAACCACTATGCAAGTCTAAGTAGAATAAAGTCCCCTGCTCACTCAATTTCAATAAATGTATTGAGTAGCTTCTTGATTCCAGAATTACACTGAGCATTGTCATAAATTCATAGACGTTATCTCACTAAATCCCTACAGAAACTTGACAAATCCATATTGTCATCTCCACTTTACACATTTTATAAATGAGGAACTAATTCAGAGAAACTGAGTTATCAAGTGATAACACTGATAAATAAGAGTCAAGCTTAACCGCTTGATTTTTATAACTGTTCTCTCCAAAATCTTTACAAGAAATTGTTGCAACTCCATGTACAGAGGTGGTTACCCGCATACTGCCCTATGAGGGACAGGGCACACAGATGTTTTCAAAAAAATGTATTCAGACAACCTTAGTTTGAGTTCTCCTATGTTTCGCATCTCTCTGTGTGCTTTTGTTTTCTTTGGTTTTATTTGTTGTATTTTGCCTAGTTGTTTTGGTTTGTAATGACATTCAAAGACCCAAGCAAAATTCTGGAGATTCTCAGAGGGATTAAACAGAATAATATAGAGAAGACTGCATAATCCACTTTAGGCTAATAAAACTACATTTTCTGAACTTTTAAGAGAGATTCATCTTTCCAAATTTGCTTTTCCTTGAATAAAAGTGGCTAGAGGAGATTATTTCAAAATAGTGGGTTAAAAGATCACTAAATGCTTTTAGGACTGTTCATTTACCAAAGGTTACAGCTTTACCATTATATATTGAGACAATTACGATGAAATATATAATGTGATGCTTTTGAAAAAATATATTTCAAAATGTCTTTACTCAGCGCAATTATTAGTCATGCAATGGTAAAAAGAGAAATGTGTAACATCACTCTTACTCCGATGAGAAAGCAAAAGATATTGAACTGAAGAAATAAAAGAATGGAGGGAGCCCAAGATAAACAGCAGGAACGAATTTATTTTAATGTGACTACAAAAGCAAGCAAAAAGAAGAAAAGAAATACCTACTATGTTATTCAATTCTTTAAACATCTATAAAAGATATATGCATTTTTAAGTCCTAAAAAAAAAAAAATGGCTATCTTTCATACGATTGTGATACCACTTGCCAAAAATACCATTGGGCCTATAGCTAGAGAGCTGTCCTTCTTGCACTGAGAATGAATTTAAGTGGTACTAGTCATGTACTTTCACCTGGTTTTTATGACAAATGTTATACATTGTTAAAATAGTTTGCCTAAAACATATGTATGATCATAAAAATGAAATGATTGGTGAGAAGGGGAATAACTTGGAATTATTACTGCCTGATCAGTAAGCACTACACTATTAGGATATTTTCCCTATCTCCACACTGCCTCTTCCCCAATAGCCCCCAAGGACTCCTCCTCTTCAATTCTCATTTTCACAACTGGGCAGTAACGTCTAAGCTTTCTCAATCTTAACTGTACATCAGATTTCTCTAGAGAGTAAAAAACCTAAATCTTGGGCTTCCTCCCAGAATAATTAAATCAGAATTTCTAAGATGTAGCCCAAGAATCTTTTTTAAAAAGATTTATTCATTTATTAATTTAGAAAGAGAGAGATTGAGCATGCATACAAGGGGCGGGGTAAGGAGGGGAAGAAGGACAGGTAGCCCAGGAGCCTTATTTTTTTGCATATCTACATACAGGCGATTCTGATATGCATCCAGAGTTGAGAACCACCATATCAGCATTTAAGTCTATAAATATTATCAGTAAAACCTAATTCACACAAAATACCAACCAAAAAGTTATTATTACAATACTAGACAATTAAGGTATAAAATGAGAGCCAAATAAAACCATTCAACTCAACCAGACTTCTTGGTCAGAAACTACTTCATGTAAAGTGACTTACAACTAGATTTTTAGAATGAATACTATTATTATGTCAAATTTTCTAACACATAATGTCATATTATGAGAATAAACTCACCTCATAAACAGCAAAATCTATGCCTGCATAAGGTAGAATGCCTAGGAAGTTAGGAATATAACCTTTGAAAAATGTTCTGACACTTTCTTCCTTCAGAAGCTTCTTGCCACAATCAATGATCCCTGAATACTGTCCAGTTTTACCTAGAGTCCAGTTTTAGAACCTAAATGTGAAGAATATTATAAAAATATATTGATCAGATTCACTCAACTCATCTAGCAATACAGAAAACTGCATTATATACAATGTTTAGTAATTATCATAGAAATCAAAAAGGAAAGTAATCTTAAATATAATTTTAGCTTTTCCCTAACTGGCTTTTAACTATAAACAGCTAACATAGTACAGTTTTTAAAAATTATTTAAACAGGAAAATGTAATGAATCACTGTGGTTTTAATTGATAACATCTGCTCAAACTCATTTAATGTGCTATAAGGCAACATACTATAAAACAAACTCACTTGAGATAACATTGTTGCCTCAAAATAAAGCAACTACAGCCAAATTCCAACTTAAAAATATATATGTATGGTCATGTTAAAGTGAAGAAGCAATATGAAAAATAACATTCTGTATATACTTAAAATACATACTGTAGGAACTATTGTAACAGTGAGGTGGATAAACTATAATCATTTAATATGATTAAACGTGCTCATAAAGTAGTAACATAACAGGCACTATGAAGGCAATAGTAGGCTTCAGTAGTCTGTCTGTGATCAACATTCCTGTGCAATTCTCCTGATAGAAACTTACTCCTTGTCCTCTTAATTTCCATTAATCTAATTTAAGGGAGCACTAAAAATACTTTTGAGAAATGGTTCTCCAAAACAGCCACAACTTAAAAAAAAAGCATGAACTTTTCTTGATTGGGCAAACTGTGTATCTTGACGGAGCTGGCTCTGAGTCATCAGTTGGAAGGCTTTTTAAAGAACTTCTCCGCACCACCCCATGCTTTGGATAATCTCATTCTCAAAACTCTCCACCCTCCCCAGGGCAGTGTACTCCCTGGCAGGTTTTTTTTCCCCACTTACTCCCTAAATTAAGTCTTCTCAAAGTTTTTCTTCTCAGTATTAAAAAGCAAAACAAAACAAAACAAACAACAACAACAAACCCACTACTTTCTTTCTAAGTAATTTCATGACTTTAACTAGCACTTCTTTGCGGATGACACATCAAGACTTGAAACCTCTCAAATCTCGGTATCACATTTGCAACTGCCTGCTGAAAATCATAACGTGGTCATCTGCCAACGACTCAAATTAAATACATACAAACCTGAACTCATCACTCTCTCACAGTCTGGGCTACTTCCGCCACTCTTAAATTCTATTAGAGATGTAACTCAGATGTAACTCTAAACACCCAAGCACACAACCCAGACAGAAATTTGCCTTCTTCCTTTCCCTCTTCCTCCCTCTTCTTCCTTTCTGCGTCAGGCTGTCAGCTCTCAAGACAGACCTAACATGAGTCCATTTCCTCTAGTCAGTATCGTACTTCAAGCCTTTACTATCACTTCATACAATCTCTTGTATGTAGTTATCTCATTTCTCTAGTCTCTCTCACTCTAAAACAACTTTACCAAGATTATATTTCAGGTTCCAAAGTATTTGATGGCTTATTTTTTTTTTAAGAAATTGAAATTATATTTCTTACACTGCATTCAAGAGCCTTTCTGATCTGGCCCAACCCATTATCCATGGTATTATCCAGTCCAAACCTAAGTATCTGCTCTTTTGCCACCATTCCTTTGCTTAAGTCATTATTTCCACCTAAAAGGCCTTCCTCATTATCTCTGAATGTCCAAAATCTAAGCCACACTCACATATTCTATTCATGACTTTCATGAAACTCCTAGCTGGCAATAATTTCTCCCCTCTGAATTTGATAGCACTCATATTGACCTCTCTTCTAGAATTTATATTTTCTATTTTGGATCATTATTGACATACATGTTTTATCTCCCCATCTAATCCATAAGTTCCATGACCAAAATGCCTGTCTGATTTGTCTTTGCATCTAGAAAAATACCTTAAACTTAGTGTCTGTGCAATACAGATTTGATCTGATTAATGACTAAGTGATTCTATCAATCAAGCAAGCAAGCAATGATTTTTTTTAATCTTCTTGATACATCTACAATACTACCTTGATCCCAAATAAACAAACAAAAGGGCCAATTAACACTTGGTACGAGATTTAAATCCTATAGCTATAAGCTGTTTATTATATAAAATTCTGATCTATTTTCATTTATTTTGAAAGTTATAGTTTGTGGGGCAACTCAGTGGCTCAGTCAGTTGGGCACCCAATTCTTGATTTTGGCTCAGGTCATGATATCAAGGTTGTGAGATTGAGCCCAGAGTGCGGTCCAGATCCGTGGGGAATGTGCTTCTCTCCTTTTCCCTCTCTCTCTGCCCTTCCCCTGCCCCCCCCCCCCCCCCCTGGCTTGCACGCCCCTCACTCTCTCTCAAATAAATTTTTTAAAACATTTTTTATAGATTTTATTTATTTATTTCACAGACAGAGATCACAAGTAGGCAGAGAGGCAGGCAGAGAGAGAAGGAAGCAGGCTCCCAGCTGAGCAGAGAGCCCGATGTAAGGCTCGACCCTGGGACCCTGAGATCATGACCTGAGCTGAAGGCAGAGCCTTTAACCCACTGAGCCACCCAGGCGCCCCTCAATAAATATTTTTTCAAAGTTATACTTTGCACTGGAAGTATTACTTTACTTAAAATTTTATAATAATACATACCTCCATGGGGTAAATACAGGTCTGCGCAGTTGCACCAGCCAATGAGCCAGATATAAATCTCTCAATAATTTCTACTTTAGCACCATCAAAACCTAGCCAATTCTTATACTGTATAAATAAAAGTATTGAAATGTATAATATTACTGAAATCGAATATATATATATTTTTTCTAAGTTTATAACATTAATTAGTAGTATAGAATTATTTGAAAAAGTATTCCAGATACCTGACATTAGCATCTAGAGGAATACTTGATTTTAATTTTTATGCCATTAGTTGTCTGAGATAATAAGTAAGACTTCTCTATTTGGCCTCTTTTTTCCTTTATTTTTTACCCACAGAATGAGTTAGCAACATTAAATCACTTAAGCATACTCATGAATATGCTATTTCATAGAGAGCATGCAAATGACAAAAAAGGAGTCAGGGACTGTATCTGTTATCTCTTTTTCACTCCATGTCTTACATATGCAGGGTACTTAATATTATTTGGTTACAGGTTAATCAAGATAGTAACAATGTGAGAAGCTCTTTCCCTTACAAGGAACAAGGGGTTGCTCTTGTTAGCTTAAGTAGCAGGGAGGTTACTGCAATAACACACGTAGAAATAAGGAAAACAAATATCAGCACAGAAGTCAGGCTTCATAGGAACTAAAGTAAGTCAAGTTTCATGGAGACTGAAACTGGGAACTCATTTAGGATCCAAGACAGCCTTAGCAAACTGATTCTCTTGTTACCTCCTAGGCAAGATATTTTCCTGTTTGCCTTTTCTAGAGGCCTATCATCAATATAATTCAGCTATTCTCTATGAACTAACTCTAGCTCTCAAATCAGTGCCTCTCCATCAAAAAGTATGATTGAGGGGCGCCTGGGTGGCTCAGTGGGTTAAGCCTCTGCCTTAGGCTCAGGTCGTGATCTCAGAGTCCTGGGATCGAGCCCCGCATCGGGCTCTCTGCATGGCGGGAAGCCTGCTTCCTCCTCTCTCTCTCTCTGCCTGCCTCTCTGCCTGCTTGTGATCTCTCTCTTTGTGTTGAATAAATAAATAAAATCTTAAAAAAAAGTGTGATTGATTCAGTTAATATGAGAGATTGCTATATGTTCCCTGTACCCAATGTCTTCATCCTTTTAGTAACAGAGTTGACACAGCTGCAAACTACATTTCCTGCCTCTTTCTTGGAGCTAGGTTGTGTGGCTAAGTGACTAATTTTGGCCAGCAAGATATGAAAGGAAGTTGAGTATGCAAATTTTGACATCTCTTTAAAGAGGCCTGCCCCAGACTCCTCTTTCTTCCACCTGAAGAATGACAAAGATGGAAGCAACCTCGGAAGTCATATCTTGAAGATGGCAGAGCTGTACCACTAACTCTAGACCACTGGCCTCTATCTCATTTAAGCTACTGTACTTTGGAATCTGTTTGTTTTAACAGCTTACGATGAACCCAAACAAGAACAGGAATTTGTTACTAGACACAGGGTACTACCATTAACTTAAACCTAAAATATGTGACACTGGCTTTATTGTTAGGACACAGATACTGCAGTCTGAGAAGATGATGATCTTTCTAATGCTTTGTGGAAATGCTTGATAAAACTGCCTGCTGTGAAATTTGGAAGGTAGATCGTGTGCTTTTTGAGCCTGAAGTGCTAGGAAAACTGACTGTAAAACCTCAGAATGTTGGTCAGTGTTGCCCACTCCTTGCTTCTTTTAGCAAGATCTATTAACACATGACCTAATGCATCTCTCTGTTTTTCAGCCATAGGGCCTTCTCCAAAGCCAATTTGCAAGCAGAAATGGAAGGAAATGGAGCTCTGTTAAGGAAGTTTTCTTAGCCTGGCTCAGTAGTCAAGAATGGTGGGCTTCCAAGTAGGAAAAGCCACCTGCTCTGTTCCCCAACAGAAGGAAATTAGATGTCCCAAAGAGCTTGCCCAGCTGACAAAGTCAGGTGTTGTCATCTAATTTCAGCCTATTGTTTTAGTTGACACCAATGTAGCCCACTATAAAAATGAGAGAGAGGATGAATGACTAAGCACAGGAACTGGAAAATAAAACATCAGAGAAGAGATTTTTAGATATGGCTGATCCACGTGATATTGACTGGAAACAAACAGAGAAGTGGTATAAGAAGTTTTTGAAAGAATGGTATGCTAGAAAACCCATAAGCAAAGCCGATAAAACCCTATGTTCCATTGATCTCCAAAGCAACTCTCAGGCCCCAAACCTAAGCAGGCTTTCACTAGCCATGGCAGACCCTTCCAGAGCCCTACATCAAATATGGACAGTTCTGTGCAGACTCACAGACTCACTTCACTGACAGAAACCCATCAAAAGAAAAATCATCCCATCTCTCTGCTTTTCTGACTCAGAGCCTTCTCTGAAACTGTGTGAGCCTGTCCAGCTCAGAAGTCTGGGGAAGTTAAACTCCTAAGAGCAATCTTCATACAATATGGGACAGAAACTGGCAGATAAATGGCCCAGCTCTCTTCCTTCAGATAGATAATTCTGGGAATAATTCTGTACATATCCTAGAAGTTCCTTAAAGAAGCCCCTACTGCATATAACTGAAACCTCACATATGTACCCTTGTATTGACTTTTCTTCCTTCTGTGTCTCACTGCCCCTGCTTCCTCATTCCTGCTTCTTCACAAATAAACTAGCTGTACCCAGACTTTTTGGGGGGGATCCAAACTAAAGTAATTGGTATCACTTCAAAAGTGGTCCCATGTACCAATTAACAGCCAGAGATTGTCAGAGTGGCTCAAAAAACAACACCCAACTTATATGTTATTTATAAGAAATCCACTTTAGAGATTAAGACACATATAGGTTAAATGTAAATGAATAGGGAAAAATATACCATGTTGACTTCAATCAAAAGAAAGTGTGAGTAGCTATATTAACTTTAGACAGAGCAGACTTTAAACCAAGGAAAGTTAGGTAGGCTAAAGAAGGCATTACCTACTGATAAAGGGGTTAATTATCTAAGGAGATATAACAATCTTTAGCATATATGTTCCTTGCAACAGACCATCAAACTACATGAGGTCAAAACTGATAGAAGTACAAAGAGACATAGATGAATCCAGGGGCACCTGGGTGACTCAGTTGGTTAAGTGTCCGCCTTCGGCTCAGGTCATGAACCAGGAGTCCCAGGATCAAGAGCTGCAACTGGGCTCCCTGCTCAGCAGGGAGTCTGCTTCTCCCTCTGACCCTTACCCATTTGTGCTTTCTCTCTTTCACTCTCTCTCTCTCAAATAAATAAAAAAAAATTTTTTTAAGAAACAGATGAATCCACTATCATAGCTGGAGATTTCAGCATCCTCTATTAGAAATGGACAGTTCCAGAAAAAAAAAAATCAGTAATGACATAGCTGCACTCGACACCACCACCAATTGACTGTATGTAACTGGGTCCATAGACTATTTCATCCAACAATAGCAGAGTACACATTTTTCTCAAGCTCACATGGAACATTCAACAAGAAAGACAACATTCTGGGCCATAACACACACCTTAACAAATTTAAAAGAATGGAAAGCATACAATGGCTGCTCTGAGACCACAGTGGAATAAAATTAGAAATCAGTAAAAGAAAGATAATCTTTTAAAAATACCAAAATACGTGGAGATTTAAAAACACACTTCTAAATAACACACAGGGGGTGCCTGGGTGGCTCAGTGGGTTAAGCTGCTGCCTTCGGCTCAGGTCATGATCTCAGGGTCCTGGGATCGAGCCCCGCATCGGGCTCTCTGCTCAGCAGGGAGCCTGCTTCCCTCTCACTCTCTCTGCCTGCCTCTCTGCCTACTTGTGATCTCTCTCTGTCAAATAAATAAATAAAATCTTTAAAAAAAATAAAAAATAAATAAATAACACACAGGTCAACGAAGAAATCTCAAGAAAAGTTTAAAAATATTTTGAACTACATGAAAATGAAGACAATTTATCAAAGGAGTGGAAAGTAGTACTTAGACGGAAATACATAGCATTGAATATGTATATTAAAAAAAAGAAATATTTATAAATAGTAATCACTTTCCACCTTGGAAAATTAGAAAAAGAGCAAATTAAATCCAAAAAAATAAGAAGAAAAAATATAAACAGAACTAGAACAGAAATTAATGAAATTGAAAATAGGAAATCAACAGAGAAAATCAACAAAATGAAAATCTGGTTCTTTGAAAAGTGGTCCTACAAAGTAGGTCTGCTAATGTTGTTAGAACTGGATCACTCACCAGCCACTTGACAACAATTGGATCTTAGTTGGCAAATGGAATGATGATAATCTGTGGTATGCTGTGGCATTACAATTACTAAAATTCATAGTTCTAGTGGCTTGGGATAGAGTACCTGTAGACAGAAAAGTATTATATTATTCAGTTGCCCTAATACTTGAATAGCATGGGGACAATTATAAAGATTGTGGAGTTGGTTGATTCTAATTCACTATCTTAGAAACTTTGAAGGAAGACAATGTCAAGGTTATAAGTCATCTAACTTTCACCATTAAGCATATTATGAACACTGTGAGACCTTCATAGCAGCATTGAGAGATCCTCATAGACTGCTAAAAATCAGGCCCAAGATATAAATGTAAAGGTAACAGAGTTATGAAGGAAACAATACAGAACCTCAAAAGGTCTCCTATGCTAACGTGAGGACCCTCACTGGGAAGGAGTAGGATCCTGACACATGGGATGGGAACATTTGGGTGCATATGCCTAAGAAATTTGAGCTCCCAAATTCACCAGCACCTTCCAATTTGGCAAAAAGTTGTCCCCTTCTCACTGCTAGAGCAGAGCAGCTTCTCTTTGTACCCAGGCCATGCATGCAAACGCCTCAAAGAGGCAGTTGCTTATCAAAAGGATGTTTGCTCTTCTCACAATCTGTCCACTGCCCACCCCCCCACCTCTGACTGCCTTCTAGCCAACAGTTTATGTAGAGTTAATTCTCAGATAGCCCAAGGACTTGGTTATTATGGACTGGAAGAAACCAGAGGAGGAGTGTGACAGTGGGTCACAAGAGTACTAATGGTGGGGATCTGAGGGATAGAATATAATGCTGGATAGGGAAGACTTTATTGATGTGGAGCACTCTCCCATGGCACAGGACTCCTGAAACCTATCCTAATGTGGTGCTGGAACTGCTTTTTAAAGCTTAGGCATAGCTCTGGCTGATAGTAAGCAAGGTGATGATGCTGAAGTCTTGGCAGATTGTTGAGGAAAGAATAGGTAGATGCAGGAAGGTGGAAATATTACAGTGGAGTTTATCATGAGACTGGAGAACCTACTAGTAGATTATGTTCCTAAGAGAAGAAGGGAGTCCTTGTTGAAAGACCCAAAGATGACTGTTCTTAAGGTCTACAGCAGGGGATGTTGCCATGAAACTCTTGCTATCATAGATATCTCTGATGAATCTGCACAAAGTAAAATGAAAACCTTTGGGAAAATATTCACCATTCTAGATGACATTAAGAACATTCATGATTCATGGGAAGAGGCCAAAATTAACAGGAGTGTAGAAGAAGGGGTTCCAGATTTCAGTGGAGACAGTTGCTGCAGGTATTGTGGAAACAGTAAGAGAACTAGAATTAGAAGTGGAGCCTGAAAATGGGACTGGATTGCTACAATCTCATAATAAAACTTCAATGGATAAAGAGCTTCTTTTGATAGATGAGCAAAAAAGGTGGTTTCTTGAGATGGAATTTAATTCTGGTGAAGATGCTGTGAAGACTGTTAAAATGTCAATGAAGGATTTAGACTTAGTATCAACACTTAGTTGATACAGGAGCAGCAGGGTTTGAGAGAACTGACTCCAATTTTGAAAAAAGGTTTACTGTGGGTAAAGTGCTAGCAAACAGCGTCCCATGCTACAGATAAATTGTTTGTGAAAGGAAGAGTTAACCAATGAGGCAAACTTCACTGCTGTCTTATTTCAAGAAATTGCCACAGCCACTCCAGCTTTCAGCAACTGCCGCCCTGCTTAGTCAGCAGTCCTCAACATCCAGGCAGGACTCTCCACCAGGAAAAAGATTACAACTCACTGAAAACTCAAATGATGCTTAACATTTTTCAGCAATAAAGCACTTTTAATTAGAGTACATAAAGTTTTTTTTAGACCTAACACTATCACACACTGACTAGACTACAGTATAGTGTAAACATAACTTTTATATGCACTGGAAAACCAAAAATTCATTTGACTCACTTTATTGCACTGGTCTAGAACCAAATCCACAATATCTTCATGGTATGCCTGTACTTACAGTGATACCTATTGCTGTGCACATTCCAGTTTTCTCTCTCATTGAAGTCTAAATTTTTAAAAATTAAATATAAAATATTAAAAAATATATATATATAATCTGATCTTTATCATAAAATTCCATAGGTGATAACATTTTACCTGTTCATAAGCTCCAATCTTGAGAGCTGTCTCAGGTATAATTTTAAAAATATTTACACCATTTCCCCGCCAAAGAGAACGTATTCCTCCTTCTTTCAACATCTGTTCAAACCCATCAATCAATCTCATTTTCCTGGACTTTAAACTATGAACCTAGAAATGTACAGGAAATTTATTTTTAAATTTATTTTGCTGGTAATATAGCATTGATGTTATTATTGCTAATAAAATAATAATACATAAATGTAGAAATCTATGAACACACCATTTTTACTGTACTTTAGAGACATATAAAATTGATATATTAAATTTTTCTTGTCCCCAAATATATATATTAATCTCATACATCAAAGAGAGCAACTTCAAGGGAACAGGAATGATTTAATTACCAGAGAATTTTTGCATAAACAAAATGTGTTGTTGCTGCTAAAATATTACAAGATTATTAAAGAGAACACTAAACTATGCACTGAAAAAGGAATGGATGAAAATATATCAAACTTTCAATAGCAGATACTTCTGGGTAGCAAGGTGTTAGGAGTTGAATTGTGCCCCCACCAAAATTTCTATGTTGCAGTCTTAATGCCTCAGAGTGTGACCGTATTTGAAGAAAGGATCTTTACAGAGATAATCAAGTTGGAGTAAGGACTTATTATTCTGAACTTGGCATTAGGGGCGCCTGGGTGGCTCAGTGGGTTAAGCCTCTGCCTTCAGCTCAGGTCATGATCTCAGGGTCCTGGGATGGAGCCCCACATTGGGCTCTCTCCTCAATGGGGAGCCTGATCCCCCCCCCCACTGCCTGCCTTTCTGCCTACTTGTGGTCTCTGTTTGTCAAATAAACACATAAAAATCTTTTAAAAAATTTTGTTGAATTAATAAATTAATACATCGGGTGCTGGGTTGTGTATTCATAATATGGTGCAGAAAGCAAGTTTCTCCCCTCTGGGAGTTTACACTATAATACAAAACATAGGAAAGGAAACAAGCAATTATAATACAGAGGAATAAGTACAATAACAAGGGTAGCAAAAAAAGTATTTTAAGAACATAGTTCAGAGACATTTAATAGAGTGTAGAATTTTGTTTTGTTTTGTTTTGTTTTGTTTTGTTTTTGTTGGGGGAAGATGAGTGGAACTGTCAGGGAACACTTCTCACATAAAGTGAATTAGAAGTAGCAAAGCAATATGAATCCAGGTATTCTGACCTCAAAGGTTACCTTCTTGTCCACCACAGTGTACTAACTCCCTATAGAAGTAGGGATTAACCAAGGGAATGTTCTTTTTTTTTTTTTAATTATGTTTTGTTAGTCGCCATACAGTACATCATTAGTTTTTGATGTAGTGTTCCATGGTTCTTTGTTTGCAGAGTGCTCTGGGCAAAGAAAATAATTTGTTTGAAGACATTAGGTATTTTAAAAACTTTAAGGCTAAGGTTGCCTGGGTGGCTCAGTAGGTTAAAGCCTCTGTCTTCAGCTCAGGTCATGATCCCAGGGTCCTGGGATCGAGCCCCATGTCGGGCTCTCTGTTCAGCAGGGAGCCTGCTTCCTCCCCTCTCTCTCTCTGCCTACTTGTGATCTCTGTCTGTCAAATAAATAAAAATCTGAAACAAACAATCAAACAAAAAACTTTAAGGCTATATATAGGGATGGATGAAGAATAAAGGAAAGTTCAAGACCTTGGAATAATGTTGGCATTTCTGACATGGGTAATTAGGAAGATGATGATGCCATTCATCGAAGTGATAAAAGAATATCTAGGGGACAAACAATGTGGTATGTGTTTGAGGTGTCCCAATTGATATCCAATAAATGCTTGCACATGCAGAAGGAAGGTGTGCTCTAGAGACATAAGATTTGGGGAAATCAATTAGCCTAAATCTGGTAATTCAATGTGGAAGAATAAATAGGATTGTCTAGGAAAAAAATACATACAGAGTGAGAGGCCAAAAAAAAAGTTGAAAATACAACACAGAAGAAAACTAATATATAAGAGGCAGAATGAAAAAGAATACTCTCAAGGGAGACAGAAAATGGCAGAAAGGTGCGAAGAAAACCAGGAGAATGCAGTGTCAAGGAAGCCAGCTAAAGAGAACATGTAAAAAGAGAGAGTGGTAAGATCTAGAAAATATCCACTGAACTAACAGTAGGGAGACTGGCTTAGTAAAATAATTTATACAAAGTGGTGAAAGCAAAGCCAATTAGTTGAGAAGTGAATAGGAAGTGTAGCCATGAAGAGAGAAAAAGGATAAGGTAGCTAGAGGGGACTTTAGTAGGATTACATTTTTTTTAAAAAATGGTACTGGCTTAATTATGTTAAATGTTATATTTAAATGCAGGATACTTAAAAACAAAAAATAAAGGAGATAATGAAGAGAATAAGGCCCCTGAACGGGTCAAAGAGGAAATAAAAAGGGAAATTTAAAAAAAAAAATCTTGAGAGAAATGGAAACACAACATACCAAAACTTACAGCATGCAGCAAAAGAAGTTCTTAGAGGAAAGTTCATAGTGATACAGGCCTACCTCAAGAAACAAGAAAAACCTCAATCTAAATTTAAACCTTAAGAAACTAGTATTATGCTAACTGAAATAAGTTAGTGAGAAAAAGACAAATAATGTATGATTTCATGCAAATGTGGAATTTAAGAAACAAAACAGATGAACATAGGGGAAGGGAAGGAAAAATAAAATAAGATGAAAATAGGGAGACAGACTCTCATTCTAGAAAACAAACTGAGGGTCACTGGAGGGGGGGTGGGGTAATTGGGTGATGGGCATTAAGGACAGCACTTGATATAATAAGTACTGGGTGTTATATGCACCTGATGAATCATTAAATACTACCCCTGAAACTAATAAAAAATAATAATACCTTAAGGTTCTAGAAAAAGAAAAACTAAGACCAAAGTTAGTAGAAGGAAGGAAAATAATAAAGATCAGAGCAGAAATAAGTGAAACAGAGACCAGAAACAAAAGCAAACAAACAAACAAAAAAACAAACAATCACCAAAACTAAGAGCTGTTTTATTTTAAAGATAAACGAAATTGGCAAATGTTTAGCTAGATTAACTAAAAAGAAAGAGAAGACAAATAAAAGCAGAAACAAAAAAGGATTACAACTGATACTACAAAACTATAATGGTTAAGACACTATTCTGAACAATTATACACCAATAAGTTGCATTATCTAGAAGAAATGTATAAATTCAAAGGCATATAAAACATACTGAGACAGGGGCACCTAGGTGGCTCATTGGGTTAAGGCCTCTGCCTTCAGCTCAGGTCATGATCTCAGGGTCCTGGGATCGAGCCCCGCATCAGGCTCTCTGCTCACCAGTGAGCCTGCTTCCCTTTCCTCTCTCTGCCTACTTGTAATCTCTGTCTGTCAAATAAATAATAAACAAAATCTTAAAAAACAAACAAACAAACAAACATACTGAGACTGAATCATGAAGAAAGAGAAAATCAAATTGAATCACTAATCAAAAAAATCTCCTAACACAGAAATGTCCAGGAACAGATTATATCCCTGATGAATTCTACCAAAATTTAAAGAAGAATTAATGCTAATCATTCTCAAACTCTACTAAAAAACTGAAGAAAATGGAACCCTTCCAAACTCATTTTTTAAAAAATTTTTTAATTTATTTTCAGCATAACAGTATTCATTGTTTTTGCACCACACCTAGTGCTCCATGCAATCCGTGCCCTCTCCAATACCCACCACCTGGTTCCCCCAACCTCCCACCCCCCACCCCTTCAAAACCCTCAGATTGTTTTTCAGAGTCCATAGTCTCTCATTGTTCACCTCCCCTTCCAATTTCCCTCAACTTCCTTCTCTCTAACTCCCCTTGTCCTCCATGCTATTTGTTATGCTCCACAAATAAGTGAAACCATATGATAATTGACTCTTTCTGCTTGACTTATTTCACTCAGCATAATCTCTTCCAGTCCCGTCCATGTTGCTACAAAAGTTGGGTATTCATCCTTTCTGATGGAGGCACAATACTCCATGGTGTATATGGACCACATCTTCCTTATGCATTCGTCCGTTGAGGGGCATCTTGGTTCTTTCTACAGTTTGGCAACCGTGGCCATTGCTGCTATAAACACTGGGGTACAGATGGCCCTTCTTTTCACTACATCTGTATCCTTGGGGTAAATACCCAGTAGTGCAACGGCAGGGTCATAGGGAAGCTCTATTTTTAATTTCTTGAGGAATCTCCACACTGTTCTCCAAAGTGGCTGCACCAACTTGCATTCCCACCAACAGTGTAAGAGGGTTCCCCTTTCTCCACATCCCCTCCAGCACATGTTGTTTCCCGTCTTGCTAATTTTGGCCATTCTAACTGGTGTAAGGTGGTATTTCAATGTGGTTTTAATTTGAATCTCCCTGATGGCTAGTGATGATGAACATTTTTTCATGTGTCTGATAGCCATTTGTATGTCTTCATTGGAGAAATGTCTGTTCATATCTTCTGCCCATTTTTTAATATGATTGTCTGTTTTGTGTGTGTTGAGTTTGAGGAGTTCTTTATAGATCCTAGATATCAATCTTTTGTCTATACTGTCATTTGCAAATATCTTCTCCCATTCCGTGGGTGGCCTCTTTGTTTTCTTGACTGTTTCCTTTGCTGTGCAGAAGCTTTTGATCTTGATGAAGTCCCAAAAGTTCATTTTTGCTTTTGTTTCCTTTGCCTTTGGAGACATATCTTGAAAGAAGTTGCCGTGGCCAATGTTGAAGAGGCTACAGCCTATGTTTTCCTCCAGGATTTTGATAGATTCTTGCCTTGCGTTGAGGTCTTTCATCCATTTCGAGTTTATCCTTGTGTTTACTGTAAGAGAATGGTTGAGTTCCATTCTTCTGTATATAGCTGTCCAATTCTCCCAGCACCACTTATTGAAGAGACTGTCATTTTTCCATTGGATATTTTTTCCTGCTTTGTCGAAGATTATTTGGCCATAGAGTTGAGGGTCTGTATCCGGGATCTCTACTCTGTTCCATTGGTCTATGTGTCTGTTTTTGTGCCAATACCATGCTGTCTTGGTTATCACAGCTTTGTAGTAAATCTTGAAATCAGGCAACATGATGCCCCCAGTTTTGTTTTTCTTTTTCAACATTTCCTTAGCAATTTGGGGTCTCTTCTGGTTCCATA